GAGCGGCGTGAGTGCTTCGGTGCTGGCACCTGCCGGTCCCGGCAGGTCCAGGGCTCACCTCTGTGGCTCACAGTAGCCTTTCTGTGCAGCTGTTTTGCTTTTTAGCTGATGGCCAGCTAACCTACGGCAGCTATCCTGCTGGAAAATCCACCCATAATCAAAGTGTGACAGGTTTTATTTTAAAATAAAGGGATGAAATTTGACGGTTCTGCTCAAGTCTGGTCGTGTCTTGGTGCACCTCAAATGCTTCCTTCCCTTACCTTGTAGTCAAGAACTCCCTGGTGGCAGAAGCCTCACAGTGATTGTTTCTTGCCATGATGAGTGAAGGACCTTATCAAGTTCCCTATTCCTGTTAACAAAATGGGGATTTTTTTTTCCCTTTCTGTGTTGGAGTCAACACGGGTCTGTATCGGTTGCCTGTGGGGCCGTGCCATGGGTGTGGGGATTGTTCCCATCACATGCTAATTTTCATTGCAGAAAAACAAATGAAACCCTGGCTGTAGGGATGTTTGGTTAATGAGCTTACCAAGCAAAAGCTGTTGTGAATTTTGAAGGGTTCGCTACCACCCTTTCCCCTTGCTTGCTTTGGCTACTTGTAGAGTGTTTTCCCCAGAGGTCTTGTGAATGTTTTGTTTCCCACAGCACATACAAATGGGATTGACAGCAGGCTATTCTGAGCTTTCCCAGGAATTTACAGCCAGCAGGAAGCACGCTGAAGGCTCCAGTGGAACCAGCCTGCCCCTGCCGAGAGCCAGGCATGCACACGCCATCCCTGCAAGCATCCTGGGGCTCACTGCTCCAACCATTCCCTCGCCTTGAGGGATTTGTTTCTCTCCACAACTGTTTTTAGCTTTACAGGCAGTGCTGAGAAATGCGTAAGTGGGCTCCACTGATGCCAAAACCCAAATATCAGAAACCCTGTAATTTTCTTGTTGATGGTTCAGTGTGCAGATCTGTTAGAGTTGGAGTGTGAGGGTCTCTTATTCTTTTTTATTCATATTTCCTGTGCCCTTGCACCCTGCTGCAAGGTCTGCCTGGTGGGACCTTGGCAATCCGTCCTTGAAACAGTAAACTGAAGAGGTGTTAATGGTGTTGACTGCTGCTGACTTTGTCTGACTTTGAAGTGCTAATTAAAGGTAGGGATAGGCTGATAGGAACCAGTGTTATCCTGATTTTCTTCTAGCAATGTAAGCTGTAAACAGATCAGTACTTGGCCGTTGCAGTGCACCACCTGATGATGTGTCTTGTTTCTATATTAGATGCCCTTTTTTGAGTTCTGAGTCCAGTGTTTCAGATGTGTTCAGTATGTGCTTGTAGACAACCCTGTTGGAGTGCTCAGATATCTTTGTTCCCTAAATTTAAGGTCAATCTCTGTGGGTCAAGTGTCAAGTTTCTTTCAACTGAAACTATCAGAATCTCTCTGACCAGTCCCAAAAGAAGTAATGAATGGACAGAAGCACAAGCACAATTTAGTAATGAAGGATTTTTTTCCTTCCTGAGTTTTGGACAGGTTGTTGAATTACAAATCTGTACATGCAAAATGGCCAGGCAAGGCTGGAGAAAGAAAATTTAAAAATAAACTAAAACTAAAAATTAAGCAATCCAAAGGCTGTACAGTCAGAAGACAATTCCAGAGTAGAACAGTAATTGTGGCAACACGTTTTTGAGAAGAGAAGTAAAATTGTGATTATGAAAGGATCTGGAGTAGCTGAGTAGGCAGTCTTGGAACTGGAATAGGTGGAATATTGTGTTAGCAACTCTGCACGTTGTAGCTTTTGGGTTAAGGCAGCTTTGCTCCCTATGCTTCTATACACAAAGTCCTCATGTGTGGGCAATACGTCTGCTTTTAGCCAGCCCCTGTGAAAAAGAAGCGTCCTCCAGTGAAGGAAGAAGACCTCAAAGGAGCCAGAGGAAACCTTTCCAAAAACCAGGAAATTAAATCCAAAACCTACCAAGTAATGAAGCAGTGTGGTAAGTCTCCTTGGGGGAAACAATTAAGCAGACTTCCAAAGAAAAATGTCGACTTAATTGCTCTTTTCAAGATGAAGGGTGGGTCTCTGAAATGGCAGCCAGTGGTGCGCTTGCCGACCTGACCTGGCTGTGCAGGAGCTTTGCATCCACCGTCCTGCCGGCACCAAGAGGAGCCAACACGGCTCTGCTCGGAGTGACCCTTCTCCCCTCTGCACAAAGCAGGAGGGAGAGCCCTGACCTTGGTTTCTGAGCAAGGGCTCACACCAAGCCCTGGGACCACAGTCGATGTCAATGACTGCCCGAGTTGAAGATGGGAGGCTTGGTCTTAAACTGGGGGATTTTTGGCATCTCATGAATTTGTAGCGTTTGAGATGGAGCAGAAACTGGGGAGGATAAAGGGGAGAAGGTGAGAGAGAAGAGAGTGGCTGCTTGTACTTAACACACCTGATGCTCTGGGGTTTTGTTCCTTTTCCATCACCAGTGGGATAGCATAAGGAAAATGATTCAATTTAACCTCTTTTCATCACACTAGCCAGGTCCTTGGTGTTTTCAAGGTTTCTACGCCACCTGCGGGGATTTGGGGCCAGTCAATGGTAGCAATCACCTGCCTGTTGGCTGCCCTGTGCTTGGGATGGGAGCACTGTGCTTTAGGGGCTGGGAGGTTGATGGGCAGGTGAAGTATTTATCAAATGTGTATGTATATATATATATCTGTATTTCAGCAGCACTAGTTTTATACTCCCTGAGTTTAATCTGCCACTTCATTGATTGCCTCTCCTGGTTTTCTTTTCCAAGAACAAATGGGCTCTGTGGCACCCTCCATATTCAGCCGGGATCGGACAGGAGGTGAAACGGTCTTTGAGAAACCAAAAGAGCAGCCGGCCAAGAGCGTCTTCGGCTGACGACGGAGCTGAATGTGTCTTCCCCAGATGGTGGCTATAACGTTTTCCCAGATTTTTGCCTTTTACACTAAAGTCAATGTAGACCTAAGTAGCTAATTTCGACTGTAAGCCATTAAGTAGGGAATAGACTCATGTCAAAAAGCGCAATTTCCATGTCGATTTTTATTATGAGCTTTCTTTCTATGTCTTGAGCAGTGTTTGCTATAATGATTTAATAAAAAAAAAGGTTGTTGGACACAGCTTGGCACACTGGTGACCAGTTTCAGTTCAGGCTTAGATTAATTCTGTGGTCACTTCGGCATTACAAGCTATGATCTAGTCTGTCAAACACAAAGAATAAACACCTCGATGTCACAGTTCTAGTGTCAGCGCAATTTCTTCACACTGTGCCCTTGCCGAGAGGGAGGTGAGGAGGAGCTGGTCCAAGGAGCATCACAGAAACCTGGAGATTTCGCCCAAACCTGTGGCTGACCGCAGCCACACCCTCCGGGGACCTTCAGGCCTGGCGTGTGCCACAGTGCGACAGCCCCCGCCCTCATGGCTTCCCCCGTGTTCCCACCCTTATCCCTCTCCCTTCACGGCTCCACCCTCATGGCTCCCTCAGGGCGGCGCTTTGCCCTGAAGCAGCTCTGCTGGGAGGCAGGATGCCGGCCTGTCCGTGTGCCCCAGGGCTGAGGAAGGTCCTTCTGCCCCTTCCCCAACAGCTTTTTTGTCTTCGAGGTTCTGCTGGATCAGGTGAGGAGCGGGGTGAGGTGAGGAGCGGGGTGACGGGCCAGCAGCACAGGCGCCGTGTTCCTCCTCACTTGAGAAGCTGAATGACCCACAGGGGCATCTGCACAACGGCAAACCTGCTTTGAGGGGAAGTTGGGGTTTTTGCATCTTGATTTGTTCTACTAGACATCAAACCCCAAGGGTATAAACTGGAGTGTTTCTCCTCGGCTGGATTTTTGTGCTCGAATACAAACAACCCTCTGCTTTGTTGGCAACTGCCACGCTCCTCTCGCTCCGAGTCCCTGGCAATATGTTTTTCGACAGTGAGGTAGGTGCCACCTTTATTTAAAGAATTGCTCAAATTTTGCTCAGGCTAAACCTACTTAAGAAGTGACCGTGATATTGAAGGTCTCTGAGCACCACAATAGAACATGCTGATGTTTGTGAAGCTCCCAGAGAGGCCACAGTGGGGCTCGTGTAAGGCAGCAGCAAATCCTTTGGGTTTAAGGGGGAGATTTTCTTCAAAAATTAAGGACGTCGCTGGTGCATTGCCCTGTCCCATTCTTCACACTTCCAAAGAATATTTTTTCTGCAGCCAAGACTCCGTCTCCTCTCTCTGCTGGGCACTGTTTCTCCATGAGGCCCAGGCTCCTCACAGGGATCTCAAGCACAGCCTTTTCTTCTGAGAAATATGTTTCCCAGAGCTTGGAAGGTAAAGACAAAACACAGCGGGGGAAACCAAGTTCCCACCCTGAAAATACTGCAGCTATCCGAAGTTTAACAAACCCTCCGTAATTAATATGTGATGAGAAACCGGCGGGAGGTTGTTTAATAATTAGAAAAATGTTGGAGAGGGACAAGTGGGGCAAAATGTTGTTGATTCGTTTGTATGATAAAGTGATTGAATACTGAAAATTTGCTAGATTGGGTAGCTGGAGAGACGAGATGCTGTATTTGAGACCCAGCTTTGGGTACGTTGGTGCCAATTTAGCAAAGCACAGAAACCTCTCTGCCCCCCCACGCTTGCAGAGTGAATGCAGCAAGAAAACAAAGTCAGCTATCTACCAGAATCTTGGGATTTTGAGAATAGCTGTGTCTCCAGGATGGCCTCAGGTGACACTTACTTGTGACGCTTCTCAGTATGACAGTAAGTGCTCAGAACCAGAGAATTTCTATTTCTTCTTTATTTTTTTCCCCTGTCTCTTAAAAGGGACCTCATCTAAAAAACGTTCATTGGAGGTAAAAGCATAGCCCTGGAACCAAGTTGCTTAAAGTCTATGCTCTCCTGCACAAATTGCAGAATTCCCCAGGTCCCCAGCGTTGCTCATGTGCTGGAAAAGTTCCTGGCTGCTGCTGCAGGGCAGGAGGTAACTTGTAGGTGAGAGGAACAAGTATAACGCTGCCTGGAGAAATTTGTTGTCATATTTTTTTGGTCATCCTTGCAAATCCAATAGGTCTGGTTACGGAAAATGTTTTTCTTTTATTTTTTCCCCCTCATTTTCATAATGAGAAATAGTGACGAAGAAATGTCTGAACAAAGCCCCAAGGGTTTGAGTTTTAGGTCACCAGTGGGGATGGCTGGTGGTGGTGGTTTGTACAGAAACAAGGCAAGGTGCCCGAGCTTGGGACAACGCTGAGCTTGAGCATTTTCTTGTAGCTGCTTCAGCAAGGCACAAAGGGATGCAGGAGGGTTTTCATGGCTTCACTGGGTACTGGCTGGATCTGTGCACCCAGGAGTGGGACAGAGCCAACACACGGCCTCAATCTGTGCAGTTAAAGCAGCTCTTTTACATGCATGTGGGTATTAGAAAACTGATGACAGATCCACTTAATTGAAGCTAAAGCTTTGGCTCTTGGGGATCTTAGGCCACTAAGTGTATAATCCTGTCTATTTTAATAGATTACAGCATGACACAAGCTGTAGGAGTTAGTCAAATGTATAGCAGCTTTAACTTTTCTCTGTTAAAATATGAATATTTACATGTTCTATACAATATCTGCAAGTAGTATAAACAGCCTGGGAGAAGTGAAGTTTATTTTTTTTTAAAGTTATTTTAAAGCACAAGCCTTGTCTGTGTTCAACAGACTCTTTATAGTGAACTTATAAATGTTTGCTGAGGTAATAAACTATTGACTCCTGCATTAGTGTCTCCTCAAAAGTGTGAGGCCACTGAAGTGTGCTCTGCGCCGGGATGCTTTGTCTGTAAAACAGCAATGAAGCAGACCCAGATGCATGTATTTCTATGGGATCTTTGCATTAACTTAGGACAATTAATGCATTACCTGGTGCATGGAGTTATAAGAGGGGGAAATGCTGTCAAAAAACCATATGAAGAAGTGGTTTTGTGTGGACAGACCACAGGTTTAGTTGAGTTATCTGCTGTCCAGATGGGCAGGGAAGTCATGGCGGGACGGCAGGATTCAGCCTTCACTTGCTCAGGGCTGAGGGGATCTTTCTGGATTGCGGCACTGACTGCTTGCATGTTAACATACGTGTGTATGCATGTTCCGTGTTCATATAAATACATACAGGAGCCAGGGGCTGACACAGCAGCTGCATATGCTAAGAGATTCTCTGAACTACAGCCCCAAGGGATGTTATTGCTCCTGTCCTGTTGATATTTTCAGGATTTCAAACATTACATATTTTTGCACTGTGAATGAATGAACGAACGCAGCCCTCTGAAAGCTTCCAGTCAGCCAAGTAAGCCCTGGAGAGGCAGCCTGGACACGCGGGGCAGCAGTGGCTCAGACAGTTTGCTCCCCAACCAGTTTCTCACCTTCATCTCCCCAGATATAGAGCTCAGGAGATGAACTTTTGAAATGGGTTCTGCCCAGGGTCTGTTTACCCCAATGCCTAAAAAATCCAATGTTTCCTCACAATGTGTTTAAAATGCTTTGTAGAAGAGCCAGACATTACAAAGCATCACATAGAGAAATAGCTTTTAAATAGTCATGCCAGCTGTCTTGTGTTAGAAGGCTACATAAACACCACATCAGTGAGCACACACTTTAGGAATTATGTTAATATAATGCTGTTCGTAATAGTTTGTGTATAAAATTGTGGACTTGTAAGACAAATTTATTTTTCCAGAGCTACAAGCGAGTCCTTGACCAACAAAAACTTCACAAGAACTGCTTGAAGCCCCTACTGGTTAATAGGAGGTGAAAAGAGTCATCCTGCTCAATTTCCAGGTAAACTGAGGTGCAGAGCTCTCCCAGCACTAACGTTTTGTGCTAACGGCTCTGCTGAGCATGGGGGTTAAAGGCGGCTTGGCAGAATCCCTGGCTGGATACACCGCAGCTGTGTAAGGGCCAGACAAGGCCAGACGTGCTCCCGTGCACAGCTCTTAGTTGCACGGGGTTTGGGGTGATTTGTGTCACCTTTGTGCACTTACAGATGTGTACCTACAGGGCCTGGCTTAGCACCTCTCTGCCTGGGGAGTCCAGGCAAGATCCGATTATTTGGTTTTTACTGTTTCGCTAAAGACAAGCCACAACTGATTTTGCCATTTGACAGACGAGGCTTATGGCTTGTCAGAGGAAGCAGAAAGGGATGTTTCAAGGGGCCCACTCTGCTCCTCTCATGGGCCAGGTGGGCAGGGAAGCACAAGGTTGGAAGAAGTGACCAGCTGTAAAATCTCACGTGGACGTTGCATCTCTTGGTAATCTCCAGACCTCTGAAGCGCTTAAGGTAGCGGTAAGGATGTGCTCTTTCCAAGTATTATTGGTGGAGATGATGGAGATTCAGGCATCCAAAACTGGAGTTTTTTGCACAGACCAGTGTATTTGCCTGTGGCAGTTCATGTGCCACAGTGAAATCTAAGTTTAAAAAGGAAACCTAAAGATTTCTTAGCAATATGCTTTATGAAACCTTACAGTTCTAATGTTTAACAGCAAAGATCTGTTGGGAAAATCAGCTTCAACTGAGATCACATTTTACCCATGTTTAACATGTAAATATTAAGTTTCTGGGTATTTTCAAGGTCTACATAATATCCCCGAGTACAAGTTACTGATTAACTGATTAAGATAAACTGAGTTTTCATTTGAAAATCTGTTCTTTGCAAAATGGAGGAGAGAACGCTGCTCACTTTGGTGCTCTTTTCCTCACTCATAACATTAGCAGAAACTATTGCTCAAAAGGTATTTGCTCTATTTTTTTTAACAGTATCTTTTCTCATTTGGTGATCCGGTAGAATTGCAGTAGCTGGCCGGGTAACACAGGTAACTCCTCTGGAAACCACCACCTGTGGAGCCTTGGGTGTGAATTGTCATGATTTCAGAGCTATGGGTCCATTTAAGGCCTTTTTGGTTGTTTGCGCTGTTACAGTATAAATGTGGCAGGAGAGCATTTGCCGATGTGTCTGATCTTACTCTTCCCCAGGGGTGTGAAAAAACAAATCTGAGGGAGCAATGGGTATGTCTCAGCAACCGGATAAGGTTTGGATCTTGACGCAGTGCCGTTATAGCAGAACCAGACAAGGACCATTGCGGTGCCAGGAGATCTGTGACAGGGATTTAATAATTTATATGGAATGGAAAAGAGAGACAGTTATTTGTTCCATCTAGAGGAGCAAACTGTGTTTTGTAATGTCGTAGGGTGCCTTTGACTTGTTTTAAAAATACCTATATTAGAGAAAGGGAGGAAGCCTTATGTTTGAATGTTTTCATTACCATCGTGCCGATTCAGAAACGTGTGAAATGCAGGCGAGTTCCCGGGAGGCAGGGACAGGTCTGGTGCTGCTACCGAGGGCTCTGCGAGAAGCTGTGGATGTGGCGGATGGGCCTGCAGTGCCTGGGGCACCAGCTACGAGTCACTCCCAGCAGCTCTGGGGCACACACCTGGGGCTGGGCATCTCCTGCCTTCTTCACTAAGGGCACAGCGATGCCCCTCGCCATGCTGTGCCTCCCTGCTCGTTTGTGCTGGTCAGCCTAAAATGCAGGTCCCTGTCCCCAGAGCGTCCCTCCAGTGCGTGACAGTGGGATGGATGTTGCATAGGAAGGATTTTGTGCAGGGCAAGCTCCTCCCATGCTGAAGGGATGCTCCATGGGCAGTGATGACCATGATGCACCTGCACCACCCTAAGGAGCCATGGCTCAGGAGTCCTCAGTCATGGCAAAACCTTCCCTGTGAATGTGCCGTGGGCACGTTTGAGCATGGCGGGTAGAAGAAGTGCTCGGGGATACTCGGGAAGCCTTTGAGAAGTGGTGCCCCCAGGAGGAACAGCTCCAGCTGGGGGTGGGCAGCAGGGTTGTGTGGACAGGGTGAGGCACCCGGATAGCCAGGATCAGGAAATTTTTCTCTCGATTTTGGGGTTTTATCCTGTCCTGGATTGTCAGTAGGCTTCAGGAGATGGAGCACAGTCTGGTAATATATAATGAAAAAAGAAACAGCCATTACTCACATGGCGTCACCTGCAGCACCTCCTGCCCTGACACCTGAGCACAAAGCCGTGGTTACAGCTTTATATTGAATGGCCACGTTTAACATGATTAAACTTCTGAATTTTGATCAGTGCTCTTACTGAGAAGCCAGTGGCTACTACTAGTTGCTGAGAAAAGTACAGGAGGTGAATTATTGAAATAACTAAAGGTTGATTAGCCATTCAGAAGGCTGGAAAAGTAAAATCAGATGTGCAGTGATCTGCCTTGATGGCAAGTTTGGTTTTTTTTCAGTAAACTACTGGCTCTTGTGAGGCTGCTGATGTCCAGATCAACCCGTCTCAGTGTCACTTCTGAAACACAGATAATACCTTTAAAACAGACATCCCAGGTGCAAAAGGAGGATGTTTACAGAGGCAGGTGCTCCAGGCAGGTCCCAGTCCCACTGCTCCTTGGGTTGTTCCTGGGCAGCTCCGTGATGGTGACCTCCTCCCTCGAGCACTGGGGGCCCTGGGAACACCAGACCAGAAGCAACAGAAGCACTCAAAGGGCATCCCCGCTTGTGCAATCAGTGAGGGTTTGGAGGTTCATGTGGGGTTTCAAACCTGCTCGACATTGTATGTGACACAAGGTGCCCAGCTGAAAAACATGCAGCAAAGTCAACAGCAGGGAGGGTAAATAAATTGTCATGCAAAAAGCTAGCAGGTCCCTTTCCACGGGTCAAACGCTTAAAGAGGCATCTGATTTTTTTGAAGTTAATCTTAGGTAATGTATTGAGGTGACATAGCAGCTGTTCAGAGTACCTTGAGGAGTGAAGACCACAGGCAAAGGCTTGACAGAAGCCTTCTGTGGAAAGACTACAGGTGGATGGAGCCACAGTTTTTGCATGGGGCCATGGGCACAGTTGCAGAGAGATGAGTGAGCAGATGGCCAGTCTGGTCATGAACAATTCCCTTTCCCCAGTTCCAGCTGGACCTTCGAACAGTTCATTCCTTCATCATAATTTCCAATAACGTCACCCAGGTAGGTAAGGACTGCTCAGGAGCAAAACCTGAGTATTCCTGTTTCACCCTGTTTATTCTTTTTCCAGCATGCTATTGAAATCTACAGCCTCCATGTGGACTGCAAGGTCACAGCACGATTTGCACACACCGTCATCACCAGCAAAATTGTCAACCGAGATAATGAGTCCAGAGAGGCCATCTTTGAAGTGGAGTTACCCAAGACGGCCTTCATCACCAACTTCTCCATGTAGGGCGTCCTTACCTGCGGAGTGAAAGCGGCAGCTCTGGGGCCTGGGAAGGAGCGAGGGGGTCAGCTTTCCTCTCAGGAGGTGCTGAGCTAAAAGCACAAGGAGCTGAGTTCTGAGGGTCCTGCACAAAATGCTCTATGGGACAAAGTAGTAGACATCCAAATATAAAGAAGGTGCCCGTGGTGAGGCTGCAGGCTGCACAGGGTGGGTGAGAGACACGCTCAGTGCTGGTGTTTCTCCTCCTTCAGCCTCCCTAAGGCTCTGCAAGGAGGGCTGTGTTGTGGTAGTGGCTCCTGGCATCCTCATGGACCGGGAGGGATGTGGGAGTTAGTGTTCCCTGCTCATGCCCTGAGGGCCACGAAGTGCAACATTCCTCTTGTTTCTTTCCCCAGCACTTTCCTTCTCATATTAATTCATTTTATGTAAACCAAACAGGTCCATCGACGGTAAAGTATACCCAGGAATAATAAAGGAGAAAGCTTCTGCTCAGAGGGAGTATGACACTGCAGTCTCACACGGTCAGAGCGCCGGCCTCGTCAAGTATGTTGCTATCCTGAGTAAGACTGCTCCAGTACTCTTCCTCAGCTTCTTGTTTGGTTGGGAGCAGGTTAAACCCTGGAGCCAGCTGCTCTCAGCAGGGATAAATGTGAAAAGCAGCCTTGGGTTCTTGTTGAGAAGGACTCTGTGTGTGTGTGTGTGTGTATGTGTATGTGTGTGTGTGTGCGTGATCTGCTTCCCCAAAAGCACAGAGAACCATGGTACTTGAGTAGACATCAGATTTTCAGGGTAAATTTACTCTGTGCTTCCCATTTATTCATTGCCAGTTCTGCCTGATCCCACTCTGAGGCTTCCAAGTGTTTCTGCTCCGTTTCTCAGCTTCCATATGCAGCACTCATGGCACGCTACAGTAATATAGGTGATGTTTGTAATACTGTCTGCAATGTAAAAAATCTTCTCTGTTGGATGATATTTGCTGATACTCTTTTTTTTTATTATCATTTATTCCATGCATCCCCTTGGCCATTATTTAGCACACATGATAAATGTTGGCCACCACAAGCAAACCTTCCCCATAGGAGGTAAATCTCAGTTCTCCCTCCACAGAATCACAGGCAGAAAACTGGAGCAGTTTCATGTGTCTGTCAGCATTGCGGCCGCCAGCAAAGTCACGTTTGAGCTGGTGTATGAGGAGCTGTTGAGGCGGCAGCTGGGGAAGTATGAGCTGCTGATTAAGGTCCGACCAAAGCAGCTTGTTAAACACTTCCAGGTGAGCTGCCCCAGCCCGGGCTGGGCAGGGACCATCACGGTGTTTTTTCTGTATGGCTGTGTTCCCTCGGAGATGTTCATGCTGACTTCTTTCTCCGTTGTCAGATTGATGTGCACATCTTCGAGCCCCAAGGCATCCGGTTCTTGGAGACAGACAGCACGTTCATGACAAATGAGTTAACTGAGGCGCTCACGAAAGTGCAGAATGAAACCAAGGTAAAGCAGCAGCTGCCAGGTGTTACTGCCGGTGGCAACTTCAAGTTATGTTGCTTGAACTCTTCTGATTGCTTTGCAGGCTCATATTTTATTTAAGCCAACTGTAGAACAACAAAAGATAAATCCTGAACTCGATGAAACCCTCCTTGATGGTGATTTTATTGTGCGTTATGATGTGCAGAGAGAGGCCACTGCAGGTGATATACAGGTAAAAAAGAAACAAAAATGCCTTTAGATTGTAGATACGCGTGAACGTGAAGTGCAATCAGCAAAACTGCCATGTTTACTTTGAAACATTAAGGGTGACAGGAAAAGCTCTTTCCATTATTCTCAGGTCAGTTCCGATGGCAATGTTCAGTAAAGCCCCAGAGATATCAGACGTGTTGCAAGAGTGGATTATGTGGGGGAAAAATCATCCTTTCAAATTGTGTTTCAGTACCAAATCTGTATTGCCACTTTATAGACATCTTTACTTTTTTTTTTTGGCTGTTCTAAGGTGTATTTGTGGCTTCTTTTAAATGAAGGTTGGAAGAATGTGATTTATATAGGTATTAAAATTACTGCTTGGTTTTCTTTTCTTTTTTTTGGTTTTATTTGGTTGTTGTTGGTTTTTTTGGTGACAACCGAGCCGTAACTAAAGAGAGCAGTACCTTAAAAGTATTTGTGAAGCAATGCATATGCTAGGGAATAAATTCTTTTTCCTTACCATTTCACCAATGGTGTATGTATGGATGTGCTGAAAGACGGTAGTCACAGTCAATGAGCAAAGGTGTGCTGATAGGTGATAATGAAGAGGTAATGTGATATAGAGCTATATCACAAATATGGCACTGAAGTGTATAATATATATATCTGTATGCTGTTCTCTTGTGATTTGCTCTCTACAGATAGTCCTGCTTCCAGCCAGGAAATACGTTTAAATAGTTCTTTGATTTGCCCTTATCTAGAAGAACAGAAGGCTGAGCATGCCCCTTCCTTCTTGCTGTGCCAGAACATTAAAATGCAATGTTTATTTATTTAGATACCATTTTATATATTATTTCACATTCTCTATTTCAGATTGTCAATGGGTATTTTGTGCATTACTTTGCACCTCGTGAAATGCCAGTTTTTCCCAAAAATGTCATCTTTGTTATAGATCGAAGTGGCTCCATGGCAGGCAGAAAAATTGAGCAGGTAACTTACCTCAAAGTACTACCCTCTGCTTGCATCAGTCCCACACACCAGTCTTTCAAGTGACGTGCTGGTTTTGTGCACAGAAAAATTTTCAGACATGTAAAAATGCTTGAAAATAGATATACACGGATTTAAGCTCTTAAAGAGAAACACTTCTCAGATACAGCTGTTCTAACAGGTATCAAACATGAAGGCAGAAAGCACTTTTTCTATCTTTGCAGAATACTTTTCTCCTGATTTTTTTCTTTAATGATGTTTAAAGAATTAACTTGTTTTACCATTATTGACGACTGTGTATGTAGCTTTGCTAGAGTGCAGATGAGCCCACTACAGCCCTCATAGATGTTATTTTTTGTCTCTGTAAGTCAAGCAAGTTGGTTGATTCTAAATAAGGGTGTTTGGCTGCATCTCAAATAGTACTGTAGAGAAACCCCCCTATTACACTGCAGTTCCTATCCCAGCTCTGGCAGAGAAGTAGCAATAGTCAGAGTGTATGTTTTCTCCTTGGAACAGACGAGGGATGCCCTGATGAAGATTTTGCAAGACCTCCACCCAGAAGATCATTTCAGCTTTATCACCTTTAACAGCAGAGTGGTGGAGTGGAAGAGCTCTCTGCTGCAAGCCACGGCAGAGAATGTGGCGAGTGCTGCAGAATTCCTGCAAACACTGTCTGCTAGTGGAGGTACGAGGCACTGCCTAGACACTTGAAACCACAGACAGACTCTCAATACAATATATCACTTAGAAAAAAGTTATTTTTCTTAGTCATATACTGCCACACAACTACCGTCAGTGCTTACAAAGCAAGTCAGCCTTCAATATTTGTGAGTGATGCATGGGATGGAAAGGCTGGTTATGGGAGTGGACGAATTGGTGACTACATATGATACAGAGAGAGATGGTTATGTCACATGTGTGAACCACACCAGCCACAAAGTTTTGCTTCAGATTTTTGTAACAGAGATGGATGGAAAACTTCACGATAGTACTTTTTTTATTTTTTCCTTACAGAAAAGTGGCAGTTCAGTTTACATTTGACAAGGGTCTCCCCTTGTGAAACTAATTGCATCCAAAGTTATACTCCCATATAAGCCACACTATGGAAACAAAGTAGTCAAAATAGGCATGAAACGTTTCAATTGCTGCATCACTCAGTGCACTTTATTATTTATTCTTAAGCACATCTAAAAGGCTATATATCCTCTTAATGTAGGTTTTTTTATCCCAGGCACTAACGCCAATAAAGCCCACCTTTGCCCAGCTCTTTTCTTTGACTTCTTAAATAAGGCTGGGAGACATTTCTTAAATGTAGGTTAACGGATGACAGTGTGTTTATTTAATCTTTTTAATTGCTTGCCATGTTTGTATTTCCCATGACATGTGTGTGGAAAATGCTCCCAGAAGAATACTCCAGCATTGCCATTGCACTATAGCACACCATAATTAAGCCCAGTAGGCTAAACCCCTAAATCCTCATCTCTCTGGAGGATTATTTCCTGCAGAAAACTTTAAACAACTCTGTGGGGCCTCTGCAGATGAAGTGCACCGATTTCTTCAGATGATTATCCCTTTTTGGTGAGTGATGCCTGCTTTCCCATTATAGGCACAGATATCAGTCGTGCCCTGCTGACTGCCGTGAGTGCACTGGACAAAGCTGAGGGGCTGCCAGAACGGAGCATCTCCATGGTTATTTTGCTGACAGATGGCCAGCCCACTTCTGGTGAGAAAATAGTAGCCTCAGTCCTCTCTCCTCTTGATTTTTATTTGTATTTTTTTTTATCTTTTACACTTGCATCCTAGTTGTTGATGGACATAGTCTCTGTTTAAGAAGAGCTTTAGTATAAGGAGGCTGGGCTGTCACTGGCTCTGCACCAGAAAGAGGAGAGTTAGGAGAGGGCTCTGACTGGGGCCACAAGAAGCCGTAGCAGAGCCTGCCTGCCCGTAACTCCACGTCTTTTAGCTGGGAACTGTTTTGCTAAATACCATTGGCTTCCCAGTATAGAAACTCCAGGGAATTGTTGGAGATACTCCAGGCACAGCTGAAACATTAAAGTAAAATACTTAAAGCCAAAATATGGGCATTTTGCATATATTATATAGGGCCCCATTTGAGACATATTGCTTATATTTCTTCACCCTTCTTGCCTCAAACCTGAGATATTTTCAAGGTGCCTCTTGTTTTATATTCTTTTCCATGTCTAGCTCTAGAGATCAGCTGTGATAGCACAAACCAGAGGGTTGAGACAGACAAATTCCTGTTCAGAACATGTGATGTTTGTGCCATTGCGTTGGGAGTTACTGTTTTATTTAACCCAATACTTCTAGGTTTTGCATGTCACTAGCGTCTCTCCGAGACCAGCAATTATTAGTTCAGCTGCAAGCCCTCTAGTAAGATCAGTCTGCCTTTCAGATTGTGTGATGCATACTGTTTTAGGGTTGCCTTAGTTTTCTGGGGTTTTTTAATTTAAAATTCAGCTTATGGTGCTGTCTGCTCAGCACCAGCACAGTGAGTCTCCGATATCCTTGAGCACGTTGAAAACAGGCTGGGGTGGGGTGGCAGGCAAACACATGCAGTGTTCATGCATAAGCTGCCTTCCTTGGCAAAGCAGGCTCACAGGAAAAAATGGAGCTGCTCCCACAATTGTTGCTGTGGGCAGTGACAGTTCCCGGCTGGAAATGCCGAGAGGGAAGGTCTCCATAAAGGGCTATTGGTGGCTCTTCAAATGGGATAAGATGACCCTATAAAAAAAAACCTTTCCCTTTGTGCCGCAAAGGGTGGCAGAGCTGAGTTAATTTGCAGTTTACCTGAATTACACCATTAACTAATCCGTTCCTCTCTGAATTCACGCACACAGTTTTCATGGATGCTACTTGCCTTCCCAGTGTTTGATCAAGTGTTTCCATCCCCTGTGCTGTTAACTTGTAGTCTGGGTCCCCTTTGTCCTAAAACCCTTCTCTGATCCCCGTAATCCTGTAAAACATTTTGCACTTAGTCGTAATGACATTTGTAAAAGTCATTAAGGGGAAGAATCAGGTTCTGGCACTCCATAGGCGGAGTGGTGCTTTCAGCTTCGTTTAAGAGAATCCTGTGCCATATATTTTTAATATCTTACTCTGAAGTATTTTTCAAATACTTTAGGCAGTATTTTCCATTAAATCTGCTACTGTCTTTTTGTACTTTCAGACAAGCAAACAAGAGCATGGGGTTGTTTTTTGTTTTTTCATCTACAGGTGAGAGAAATGTGGAAGTAATTCAAGAAAACATTCAGAGAGCAATCAATGGGAAATATGCTCTTTTCTGCCTTGGCTTCGGGTTTGATGTCAGTTACAAGTTCTTGGAGAAAATGGCCCTAAGCAATCGGGGAATAGCTCGTCGTATATATGAAAATGCTGATGCAGCCTTGCAGCTCCAGGTCAGGAGTAAGGAATATGCCGGAAAAGCCATCTACCAGCCACAGTTTATGCCTAATCTTAGCAGCAAAGACATAGATTTTCTGAGATGAGGTGCTGGGTTTATCTATTAATTTTGGAGAGGGAGGAGGGGATATCTGAGGGTTTGTAACAAAACCATGGCTCAAAGTTGAAATCTTCCTCCATTCAGCTGCATTTGGACAAACCTGGAAACTCACACATTTCTGTACCTCTGCAAAAAGACGAATTGTCCAGGGGAGGGGATGGTGGGAAAACTTCTGTTCTTGGGTCTCATTTCAAACCAATTGAAGTGCCACCATTGGAGGCTGTTTGTCATAGTTTCCCTAAAAACGAGTGAGTAGCTTGAGACACCTATAGGCAAACTGGCTGTCCAGTCCCACTTTCCCGTCTGTCTGGAGAAGACTTATAACTTTCGAGCCATTCTCTTTTTTTGGGGAAGCCAATTCCACCTGTTTTGGCTGGGTGTGCAGAAGCCTGGGTTTGTTTCATGTCAGCCCCAGTCCAGAAAGAGAACTATTAATCCTCAGGATCAGTCAAGTTTAAAAAAATCAGACGTGAAAAGCGACTAAAACAAAACACCTGACTGGGTGAGGCAGTGGTAGTGGGCATGTTGCTGAAGTACTTGAATATATGTGTATATGGCATTGCCCGCCTGGCTGGAGAAGGTGTGCTGAAACTTGGGAAGAAACATTTATTTTTTTCCTGTGTTTGCAGTAGTTTTACGCTGCTGAATAAAAAGCTTTGCTCCTTTATTTTTACCAGGTTTTTAGACATTTAACATACCGCTTTGCATAATTTTGCAGTAAATTGTGCATGAACTCTCCCTCCCTCTGCTCCTCTTCAGGGCTTTTATCAGGAGGTGGCTACCCCAATATTAATGAAAATTGAAATGCACTATCCGGAAAACGACGTTGAGGGATTAACCAAGAACAATTTCAAGCTGTTCTTTGAAGGATCTGAAATTATAGTGTCTGGAAAAATTAGCAATGATCTTGATCTTCTGCCAGTAGAAATTAAAGCTCAGTCGGTAAGTGTTTAGTTTACTAACTATGAAAATGTATCTCCCTTCTGCCTTTTTTGGTGCAATAGGAGACTTTAAGAAGTCTTTTTCATGGAATAGATGTTCCTCTACATTTGGGCATTCAGCTGTTTTCCCATTTTAGAAAAGTATCTGAGAATTCAAAGTGTATTCCCTTCCTGAATTTGCCACAAAAGAAAAAATGTTGGAGTATATCCACATATAAACAAACAGCAATGTTAATCCTTTCCAAACACTAATATTTTGTCCTTTCAAGCATTTTTAGGAAACTGATCTATATTTTTAGAATGAGGAAGGAAATCTGCATTATTCATCTCAAAAATGTTAAAATTACCTCCTTTTTCATTACCTCCTTTTTCAACTTTGTTTCAAGTTCAGAAGTATATAACCAAAATACCTGCTGCTTTAGTAGCTTGGAGTTGCATTTTCTAATGGAAAAGGACAAACTGAAGGGCAAAAAGGCACTTCTGTGCAGAAAGAGATTCTTTTAATTCTATTAATGTGACTATAAAAGAAGACTGGAACTGTTATTTTGATGATCAGTTTTCTCCTGCTTCAGCACGGTAGTGACTTGACTCTTAAAGAAGAAGCAAATGTCAGAGAGAAGGAGCAAGTATTTCAAAACCAAAGTTACATCTTTGGAAATTTCATAGAGAGACTGTGGGCTTACTTAACCATTCAACAGCTTCTGGAAAAATCGTAAGACATTTTAATGCTTTGTATCACAAATTTCTTAAAATGCACGTTCCTTCTTTGCAAATTTTATGATCAGAATTTCTTAAAACGCAAATTCCTTCTTTGCAAATTATATGATTAGAAAACACAGAGAAACGGAAATATTTCTGCAGATAGTCTTGAAAACACAGTATATGGGAAGAATACTGCGTTATTGTATGAAGAACATGAGGTGTCTTTCTGTTAGTGCTGTGTCATTGAATGTGTGTGTGTATATATATGTATATACACATGAAAACATACTATAAAATATCCTTCATGACATTACTATGAAATCGATTTTAATGGCATGGATTTCGTTGAGCTGTTGTCACATATCCAGAAATAATATCTGTAGATAAATGAATGGCAATAGCTAGTAAAGAGAACAATGAGTATGTCCATAAGACATTTCATAGGTAATGTATCTATTATTTTTGTGTATTTGACCTATATGTAGGCTCCAGTGTTGCAAACAATTAAGCATGTCCGTAATTTATGCACATGAACTGTGGAGTTATCTGAATGAGACTACTCACCCTTAAATAATAACAATATCTGTTAAATATATCCCTTACATAATAATCCCTTAAATAATACATCCCTTAAATAATAAAAATATCTGTTAAGGCACAGCTATTATGAAGAAGAATCTGAAGGTGACCTACTCTTAATCTCTCTACGTTACTTCATCATTAACATAGACTTTAGTATTTCAGCGCAAGAAGAGGATCAGAAAACCCTGGAGGCACGAGCCTTAGAGCTCTCTCTGCAGTACAGCTTCGTGACACCCCTCACCTCCATGGTGGTCACCAAACCTCCTGGCCAGCAGCAGACAGAGACGGCGAACAAACCCACTGAGGCTGGTAAATGAGTCGTCAGCCCCCTGAAACACGCTGTTGTTATGGATGGTTTGTTGTTGACCTCCAGTACAGGTTCATTTTGTAGTGATGTGGCACAGTAAGAAGCCACATCAAAGGCAGGAGTTCAGGGATTGGCTTGCTTTCAAAATAAAACACACAGGATTTTTTTAAAAGATGAAGCAGTGAAATGGGCACTACTAGTGAAACGGAAAATAATTAGTTTAAATATTAACTAAAAGTAATTTAACGGTTGTTAGCCTTCCTGCCACTGCAAAGGGATTCTGTACTTTTCTCTGTAGCATTAAAATGGGAAAATGAATGCAAGGGGGAGGGAATCATGCCCTTGGTAGGAGTCCTGCATGTGCTCTAGCTACATGTCCTTTAACACAAAGCTAGCTTTCCAACTGGAAGCCACTCCCCTGTTGTCCCAGTTTTCTGGTCTGCATTTGGGTAAAGTCATTTTGTGTTGACTGTGTGACATTAATCTGTCCTTCTTCCTTGTGCTAGATAACGAGAAGACCAGCGGTTTTCCAGTAGGAGGTAAATGCTTTCTTCTTTTCCAGTAGCATATTTCCATAGTAGTCTCCAATGGGGGGGAAAAAAAAAAAAGGCTTGTGGTGGTTGTTCTATAGAGGGAAGTGTCTGAAATTTGGAAAAATATGGGAAGCAAACCATGAACAATAACTGCCAAGGTCTGTGCAGGGTTTGAGAGGAAAACATGGTCAAAGGGAGAAAAATCTTCCATTCTCAAAGTTTCAAAGGCCAAAATTGTCTTTACTCAGGAAGAAAAGTAGTTTTTCAAGTAAACAGTGCTAATGATTTTTTTCTGCTTCCTCCCACTATGTGCAAAGTACCTGTCAAAAAATCAAGATCAAGATATTTTGCAACTACTTCTAAGGATGATGGTATTGTTGAACCAAGACAAGGTATGTTTCTTTCACTGTTTCTGAAAATAATAGATCTATCTACATATTAGTTTTAAACTTCCAGCATTATTAATCTAATAATCTCAGCTATGATAATACTTCAGTGCTTTTTATAGGTGAAGAGCCCTGGTTTTGCTCTAGTTCTTTCACAGAAATATGTTGAGGGAATTATAATGCTGCCCCGTTCTCTGAAGATTACGTTTCAAGGTGGCACTGGGGAGCCCAATAGCAGAGAACTCCCCGAGCAGAAGCACGGCCCAGTGACCGTCCCTCAGAGTTCCCCTTGGGCTGCAAGAGGAGAAGAATTTGGCACCACCTCTGCAGCACGACCTGTTTCCATAGCGGGCGCCAAGCCCTGTGTCGGTGTGATGGTCAGGCAGGCGCGACTGCTTGAGGGCGCAGGGATATCGCCGCTAGATCTGGGATTTGTGTCTGCCAGAGCATTGCTGAACACCGTTGCTCCCTGTCGTGACAGAGCAGCACGGTTGGAGCAGAGAAGGGGCAAACAGGGTGCTGGGCTGCTCAGATTGAGAGAGGTTTTGATGGGCTCTTTTGGGTGTTGTTGCGATTTCTTCTGTCGAGCTCATCCGATTTTTAGCTGCCAGGAGCAGCTCTCCTCTGGGGTGGCAGCTCTCCAGAGGGACCATGTTGTGAGGCTGTGCTGGTGCTGTATCTCTGGGCCCTTTGCAGAGCCTCCCCTGCCAGGTGCCTCCTTCCACCAGAAGCACCCACCCTCACAGCAGGGACAGGCAACTCTGCTGCCCCGACAACATCTCTGCCTCCTCCCCATCCCCACGTGCAGGGCGGGTGAGGCCCCGGGCATCTAGCAGACAGCCAGATCCCTTTTTGCAATTCCCTTCCTCACAAAGTTCTTAGTACTTCTTGTCCATTTCCATCCTTGGGCTGGAAGTATTTTCCAGGGCTCAGTGCTCATATTCTGTGGCCAATAGTTTACTTTGGGAAGGGAAGGTGATGTTTGATGTTTGAAACACCCACGTAAGGTATGCGATACAATCATGAATAAGATACAGATACTCTGTCTTTTCTTTTTCTAGGTGTTCGTGGACTGAGGAATAGGTTACCTCCTGGTAAGTGCTCCTCCTTTGTTTTCATTCAGAATCATTTTACAAAGTCCATTTCACATGTAGGTTCATAGCAACATTACTTTAATGAATGCGTTTAGATTGTGGATACCTACTTGATACACAGTTTAGTTTTTATTACATGTATTTCAGTCCACAGGTACTTTATAAGCCTCTGAAAATGATCTTGGTCTCTTTTCAGAAATAATAAATTATTATAGCTTCTGAAAACGAATGTCAAAGATCTGAAACAGCATATGTTAGTAAGCTGAAGGAAGTGGGTATATAATACCCATAATAAAAATAATTTACAAGTGCTGGGGTTTGCTCTGTGAAGCCAATGTGGGGCACAACCATCTGCATGATGACAACGCCTGTCCTGCAAGGAGGAAATCCCAGGGCACTGCAGAGACAGAGCCTGGCATTGCCGAGAGCTCCTACAGCACTGAGCAGCAAAGGCGCTGGCAGCTGCCCACAGAGGATTCCCACACGTGCGCTCGTGGCTGTACTTGAAGAAGTCAGGGGGCAACGAGCAAGAGGGATTCCCTGTTCTAAAGGGTGGGAAGGAAGATGCAAGGCACCACCCCAAACCAAGGAAACAGTGGAAAAAGTTTTTATTTCAGGTCAATGGCACTCTGAGCCCCAATCTGGCAGCGGCAAGGAGCTGTTGTCAGTAGGTTGTTACTCACAGTCGCATGTGAGAGGAGCTGCTGGGGTGGGTGTGCTGGGTTCAGCGCTCTGTAGGAGCCGTTGAAAACAGAACTCTAAACCCTTCCACAGCTCAGGGCAACCGTGCCCCAGCGGCACAGGTGATCCTAAGAGAGGCAGGTGCTGGACATTGCACTTTTTTTCCTCATTGGCACATCTGGTTTTAAGCAAAGCTCTCCGTGGAAGTCAGTGAAGAGCTCTGCTAAAAAGGCTTCTGTCACAGAGTTCTTTCTGGTTAATTAGCTGATTTAGAGAAGAATGTTTCATTAACTCTTCATACTACTTCTAGATGTTTCACTTGTCAGTCTAAGACACGAAATGGGAGCACAACCTTTTGGTGAGTAACATACACTAGTTCCATTTTAAGAATTAATACAGCTGTAACATACAGTTTTTCATAAAATATTTTTTTCTGACTGCATCAACTCTCTGAAAGCCCTTTACCTCTTCTTGCAAATCTTGGCTGGTTCTTTCCACATAAGTGAAAAATAACCCTGTGTTCTATGAGAAAGCCCCTTTGGCTTGAGGATATAACCACCAATAGACGTGTAGTACAACAGATCTCCAGCGTCAGCTTTTTTAAGGCCTCATTGTCCTTGATAAACCCTAAGTTTAAAAATCTGTTATTTTCATATCAATATGCTGTGTCTGGGTGTGCTTTTCAACAATTACTACTCTTAATTTTAATAATTCTATTCTATAAAATCTCTAATATTTTAGGTTATAAATGAAGAAATTCTTCTGCATCATACAGCACAGACTAGATTTTTCTTTGCATGCTAACATTGTTCTCCTGCCTTTTCAGACAGCGAATACCCACAGCTTCTCTTGCCATTACCTGAAGAAAATGAAATAATCTGTTTAAATACTAATGGAAAAGCACAGCGCTCTGTCCACCTGCTGTCAGATCTAGAGCAAGGTGGGTGAGCCAGATTACCGCGGGTACCAAGAGCGAGGAGAATCCCTTTGATCTTGTGAGAGGACTTGGTGTCTTTGGGAATAAGCCCCTTTCATGAAAGGACATATCAATACCTGCTGCCTTGCAGTGACTGGAAAGGATGTGGTTAATTTTTCCTTTCTATTAGGCAATATTGACTTTCACTGTGCAACTCTCGGGTCTGGTTGTGGGTCACCTCCTTCTCCTCCTGGTGTCACATCCATGACTTTCAGACTTCTGTCCTGCTCAGCCCTTGGGGACTTCTGAGGATGCAGAGACCTTAAATCCCGTGGTCCCTCCATGCTAACAGAAGAAGGCAGGCTTTTAAAGCATGGCACTTTTTTGTGTTGCTGTTCTCAGAAGAGTTGTGGCCCCAGGCACCAGTTGTCAGCTGCTCTGATTATGGAGCAAAGCCAGCTCTGTGAGAGGAGGTGGCAATATGGGGGTCAACAGCCTCTGGTGACCCCACTGCTGCCTTGGGGGCACATGGTTCTGAAGTCAGGGGGACTCTGCCTCCCAAAACTAGATTTGAAACCCTTAAGTTGCTTTAGCAACAAAACTGAATCAGTTGTCACCTTATAAACACTGTCACTTGACAAACATGTTGTTGTTATTAAAGGACTCACTGTGACTGGAAGACTTGGCAACAGATTGGATCGGTTTGTGCAATTTGAAATTAACTATGAGAAACCCCCTGTGCGCCTCCGCGTCTCCACAGCTGAGATTGTCATAAGGCACAATAACGAGAGCAGTCGGCTGTTATGGACGGAGTCAGCCACCTCCACCTTCCAGGGATAAGAAACGTCGCCCTGTCCTTTCCCCAAGAGGATGTGGCAGATATGTTTTCATGCAGGCTTCTGCTTTCACGTTTGCTTCAAGTAAGTGCTTCCCAAAGTCCTTACGCAGTAACTTAACCTGAGCAGAAACAGGCTACCTCAAATTCGGAGAAAAAAAAAAAGGTTTGATTTCAATTCTCCATGCCTGTGTAAGAGAATCAAAACAACTGCACCAGCAGCCTGCCTTTCCGCTTTGGCAGAACCTTTCTCTTCCCAAGAAAAGGACTCGCTGTGGCTCATAGCAGCCCCTGTGCCACTGCTGTGCTGGTGGCCGCCAGGCACCGTGTGCTCCTCCAGCCACAGAGCACGTGCTGCCAAGTGATGGCTTTGGCATTTACTGTCTCTTATACATCACTTGGCTCCACACTGGCTGAAGTTTTCTTTCTCTTCAGTTTCAGCAATAACTCACGTCTGGACAGCTGACATTTTTTATGGGAAGGCATGAAATGTTTGAATAGCTGTCTGTAACTAAATGCCTGCTGTTGGAGAAAGACTGCTTTAAATGTAAATTTAATTTGTCGGACTAATTAGAGCAGGATCCTTCACTACCACAAGAAAGAGATTAATATAGCTAATGCCACCCCATTTTTTGCCTTGCGAGAATAAACCTCCAGGAGGATCTGCTGCTGGCCTGGGGCAGAGAGGACACGCAGAGCTCCCTCCCTTATAGGGAGTTCTAGACAGCAACAGAAGTCCTGAAACAACTGCTTTCCGTTATTTTTGTAACCTGAATGGAGCCAAGAACATGCTGGATTTATGCCCCTCTCTAATCTGTCGCCTGCCAGAGTGATCCTCCTGCTTCAGACCAGCACCCGAGCCCTTGCAGCCGCAGCACTTTGTACACCAGCACGTGCGGGCGTCTTTTTGTCTGACCTAATGAGCCAGGGAGGAAAACGACAGTGGATGTTTGCGTTCTGCAAGCCTGCCTGGCATCAAAATAAAATGAAGCGGTTAGAAGAAAGGCAGGGTCTGAAAAATCTTGTGAAATACCCAAGAAAAAAATTGTTTGCCTTGTTCATGAAACAGATTTTATGTAGTCTCTTTTTTTTTTTTCTCGTTAAAATGATGAAAAAATATTCTTTTTTTTTTTTTTCCATCCAAGCATTCATTGTCATTATGGATAATAAGGTGTTTTCATCAGCAAGAAGTCCTTCTCTGTTGGTGTATTTGCATGTAGTCTGATATGGGAAAGATTTATTGTGCAGCATAGAGAGAAAATACATGCTACTTATTATTTTCTACTTTAAAAATAACCACAAACAGAGCATAATAAAATAAAATTGCAAAGTCACAAAAGGCAAATTAAGTTGTTTCAACTAGTGTCAGCTAGTTAAATACATATTCTTTCTTCCTATTGTTCCTGGAAATAATGCCATCATTGATTTCCTAGGCTGAGAGTCTCAGTTGCAAAGGAAAGGAGCGTTACAGCGTCATCGTCTGATACGGTCACAGTAAAGATTTCCCTTATAAAGTTTCCGCGTTTCCTTGGGCTGTATTTCTTGAACACCGACCGTTTTTCTGACAAAGTCAGAGGAATTCTGGGTATGTATCATTATGGATACGTGCAGCAAGAAGGATGATTTTGTAACTAAGCTCCTAAAATGAGAGTATAGTGGAGCTTTGTTTCAGATTTTTTTCTTTTTTTTTCTTTTAATTCCCTGAGAGCTGACAATCTCTCACAAAAAGTGCTGGGCAGGCAAGGCAGCA